AGCGGCCATCCCCGCGCGACCCACACACCCGGGCTCCGCCGCCGGCAGCGCGGCACAGCGAGGGGAGGGCGCCTGTGGGGAGGACAGGGTCGGAGGAGCGCCCTTCCGCAGGCTCCTTTCATTCTTCCACTCGGGGGTCTCCAGGAATGAAAACTGGCCCCAGCCAGGCCAGAGCGCGCGAATGAAAGGCGGCACTGGGACCAAGAGAGAAGCCTCGTCCCGCCTGGGCTGCGGAAACTGGCGGCGCCGGGGGTGTCCCTCCGCGCGGGCGTCCGAAAGCGGGGCAAAGGGGACAGCCTTGCCCCTCGAGCGGCTGCTCCCGCAGCTCGCACACCCCTGCGGGTACCTAGTCACTCCCGCATGCGGCCCCGTCCCGACTCTTGGATTGGACTCTCCAGTCCCTTCTTGCGTCTTCCCCTCTTTCCTCTGGGCCTTGGTATGCCCCAGGGGACAGATGTCTTGGGATCTTTAACATTTGGGATGCTGCAAATGCCGAAGTTAAATGAAATACCTCCGGGGAGGGCAGGCCGCGGGGAGGGAAGATGGCCTGGACAAACAGGTCCTGAAGCTGCGAGGCTGGAGAGGAGGGCGCAGGGGCAGGCGGGCGGCGCCAGAGCTCCATGGGACAGGTAAGCGGGAAAACTTCGGGGCACCCAGCGCGGGTGAACTGGGGCGGGGGATCGGGCCCCTGAACCCATGGTCTTCAGCCTTAGCGGAGGGAGGGTGCCTACAGGGAATGGGGTTATGTATCAAGGGGGCAGGAATTCTGAGTTCCTACCAAAAATGCACACTCCCAACCCCTCAACCTTTCTCCGTCGACCTTCTTCGTGCCTGTGGATCTTCCTGGCCAGGTTCCGGGAAGCCAGAAAGCAGCCAAACAAAAGGAGCAAAGTCTCGGGCCAGCCTGGATGTGGAGGGCGCGGTGGGGGAGGGGAGCAGGGTGGACAGGACAAAGGGGCTTTTTAGAGAAAGCCTAGAGGTCTCATTTCAGGGCGCATTCCAGGCTGGCTTGGAGTTCCCCACTCCACCTTTGCTTAGTGGAGGCGAACACCTTTCCTAGTGAGCAGGGAGCAGATGCAAGTAAGAAAACAGTGAAGGAACCATCTCCCACCCCTCCTGCCTGGAGGGTCCCGGGCTATTTCACTTCTTCCTTTTTTCACTGCTGGCTCTAGCGCTGGCCATTGATTCCTTAATTCATGAAGTAAGATTTTTAGCAGTGCCTGAGACTGCTTTGCTGGGGGCTGTTGGGGATGTGAAGATGGTAGGATCAGGCCCTTGCTTTAAAGAACTTCCAATCTGGTGTTATCAGAAGACGCTAGAAGAAGGAACTTTTTTTAAAAAAATGGAGAGTGGGTGGCTACAGCGCTGGGGAAGAGTTTTCTGATTCGGGACTTTTCCTTAGGAAATGAAAACACTAAAGAGGTCCAGTTTCCCTTCCCTGGGGAAGGGCTCTTGTCTGCAAAGATCAGATTCCAACTACTATAATGTTTTGCAAGGAAATACCACTTCCTCACCAACTGGTGGTCTGGATGGTGCTCTAGGGTTTGGGGCTGGGGCATCAGTCCCCTGACTCCCCAGCCTGGCTGGAGTGGGGAGCTGTTTCAGATTCCCAGCTGGCCTCTGGAGTGCCCACCTCCCCCATTAGTATTTTGAATTGAATGACATGGCTATCAGAGAGCTCCAAGGATGGCTCCCTGGGATTCTTGGCAAGAGGTTTGGTTTGCCAGCTCCCTTCCAAACCTCAGATTCTGGAGGGTTGGGAAATATTGAGTGTGAATTTGGGGGAGCAAAGCGTTTTTGAGAATTCCAAAGGATCAATGCAAACAGATTGAGCATCTGTACTAACCTCCCCTGAAGTCAGAGATGGTGGATTACCTGAGGGCAGGGATTCTTAACTGGGTTCATTGGCATTAGGCATCTGTAGATAGAATTCAGAGGGTTTGTAAACTAGGTGAGGAAAAAAAAGATACTGTTTTTCACCAATCTTTAACAGATTTTAACATCACCTTTAGTTGTGAAGACAACAAATCACGGTAGCATTGGCAGTACCTGTGACTTTGCCATTAATAGATTTCACAGTTTCATATCACATTACAGTCACAGCTGTCTTGAAATATTGTTTACACTCAGCCCTTGTATGAAATTACCCACTGCTAGACCCTGCTTAATGTTAATAAAGAAGCATATATATTGCTATGTTTTTTTATTTTTAGAACTTTATTTCATACAATTGACTTTTTTAGTGATCTTCTTAATTTTATTCTATGCATTAAGAAATGTGAACTGTGAGCCAATTCTAGAAACTTTCACCAACCTCCACCTGGAGCTGGGGGTGGGCAACGTGGAGGAAGGGCCGCTTATGCCCAGAGTTAACCCCTCTCTGTTTGACTTTGTAAGAAAGTGCCAAGCCTCTATGGGGAGGGACTGTGTGTCATGGAGGACTGGGGAAGGGCAGGACTGCAGGCTCTTTGGGAGACCCAGAGAACAAGCTCCCCATGGGGTAGGGGGAGGAGGAACTGTCCCCTGTTAGGGCCCCTCAGCCTCAGCCTGGGCAGAAAATGAGGTGGTCAGCCTGCAGCACTCTGGGGCTAGCATTGTTTGGAAAAAGGGTGTGTACAGGAATGCGAAGGTGTGCTGGGTTTGTGTACCGGAGCTGTGGGGGATGCTGGCGGACTCCAGTCCCATGAGTTCTGCTCCACAGGAGATGTCTGGTGAAAGCAAACTTCCTCTGTCTTCTCTGCACTCGGGGGTGGGGAGTGGGGAATGGGGGACAGGGCTTTTTAGGGTCTGGGGGAGGGGAGGCAATCCAGACAAATACTGAGGCACTGGAATCTGGGTGGGGGGAATGGTGGGAAGATCAGAGAGTGGGGGGAGAGGGAGGTGGTAAGATGAAGACTTGAGGGGTGCAGCCTGCTAGGGACAGGCAACAGTCAGCCTTAGTTCTGCTTCCTTCTGTGAAATAGGCTAGATTCCAGTTTCCCATTTGCTTGGGGGTCGGGAGGTCTCTCCTCAAGGGAGACCTTGAGGCTTATTTTTCTGTAGGAAATAAGTTCCATTTTGGTCTCTGGTTCCTTGCATTTGGAGAGTGGGCTTAGGGTCTAGGGTCACAGTGGACCTCCTGTGGAGTAGGGAACAGGACTTGGGCTCAGGTCAGTGCCTGTCAGTGCCCCATGAACATGCGTTGCTGGGGGATGGATGTAATAATAAACAGAGAAGTGATGGCCTTGATACCCCTGGGGGAAAATGTCTGGGATAAAAAGAACAGCCTGATCTCCCTCTCTAGGATTCTAGAACTTCTACATATTGGAATTCCAGCTGCCTTGCCTGAGGTTTTAAAATCCTCACCCGGTAGAGATAAAACCCAGGCCTTGATCTCCATTTCGGTATATGGGGAAGAGCAATGACCCATCCCTGTCAGTTTGTAAATGTCCTACTTGTTTTCTCAGTGGACAGTGAACATCTCACCCTGCTTCTGGGGGGTTTAACAGGCCTTGATTTCTGGAAAGAGAAACTGAGGTCAAAGGAAGGCAGAGAGAGCCAGGGTCAGGACAGGAGTGCACGCAGGTACCTCACAGCTCAGAACGTTGTACTAGGGTCTCTTGAGGCCATGAAGACACGACCCTTGTTGTTGCCTTCTTCGGGGATTCCTCCATGGGAGCCCCTTTTTCCCGGCTACCCTCCTGCCCCCCGGAAGTGCAGAGGCCCAGGAGCTGCCTGCCGGCACCAGTTGCACAGGATTAGTTCAGGGAAGGACTTGCTCACCTGCTCCTCCCCTCTGACTCAAGTCATAACAAGTAACCTGGTTTCCCTGGCCCGGCAGCCTGGGAGGGACGGCAAGGCAGGCAGGTGAGCCGAGACGGATGGCCAGCAGCCCCGTCTGCTGGAGAGAGAGCACAGGCCTGTGGCTTGGGAGACCCTGAGGTGACATGCAAGGGCCCTGCGCCCCCTGACTGGAAGCAGGGGCTGTTTTTCAAACTCCTGGACAAAAGCCCAGAAGCAGGTGAGGGCGGGGTAGGTGGAATGGGTCTTTGGGACTGAGAGCAGGCTGGCCTGGGAGTGCAGGAGCCCAAGCAGTGGCCATCAGCCCTCCAACCCCCACCCCCGCCAGCCTATGTCTGGGGTGCAGGGATGACAGAGGGGTGTTGGTGGGCTTGGACAGGAGCCTGTTCCTGTGGTTGCCCAGGCCTTAGTTTCCACCAGAGGGAGGGCAAGCAGAGGTGAGCTGGGACAGGCCGGCCCAAGACCTGGCTTTGGGGGACACACTTGGGATAGAGGAGGATCCCCCATGGCCCAGCCTGAGGGAAGGTGCTCTGGAGTTTCCCTCCCTCCCTCCCTCTGGGCCCCTTCTGGTCTCCTCTGCCTTTTTCTGGGGACATTGTTCAGCCGGGTGGCTGCTTTTTAGGGCCCAGTACTGGGGCTTGAAGAGGCCCAGGAGGGATCCCTGTGTTGGGGAGGGGGTGGGATGTTACCTGAACTGCCTTTACCTAAAAGCAATGCCTTAGACACTTAAGACTCATAGCGTCCTGGGTGGGGGTGGTGCCCTCGCTCTCACCTGCGGACTCTGGGGCAGGTTCCCTACAGCTGTGGAGGGCGGCCTCGGCAGAGGCAGATGTGGGGGTCTGCTACATGGCTGTGCGGTTTCCTTCTTGGCCTGACATTGACCAAGAGGTCGAGATTCAGACCGGGGACCTGGAAAGGCCTTAGACGCTGTGCAGTCTTTATTGTGCACAGGAGGAAAGGAAGCCCAGGGAGGCCTGGTGACTTTCCCAAGGTAGCACAGACCCAGCAGAAACAAGCCTTGATTCCACAACCGGGCTATGGGCTTCTGACACTATTCCCTTTGCTCTATTTGGGGTGGCAAGTCATCCCAGAGAGCACCCAGCATCAGCCTGGGGCCACCGGCAAGATCAGTGCCTCCCCTTTGACGCTGGCAGTGAGAGGCTGGGCCCAGCTGGGAGAAGGGGCAGCTGGCGGAGACAGGAGGCATGCTAAGGTACGCCTCTGTCCCTGTAAGTCCCCACTCCTCTGCAACAGTCTCAGAGCCCCTGAGAAGCAGGGCCTGAGTTGGCCCAACTTTCCAAGGCAACTACTTAGTGGTTAATAATTAATTAGCAAGCGTGACTAATTAATGGCTTCCCCTCCCACATTACTTCCTCCTTTGTCCAAAGCAGACACACTCAGTGTGCTAGCTGAGACCACCTTGCTTCCTAGCTCTGGCTGCATCCTGCCCTTAGCTTCTGGGGAAGGTGGGAGGATGGCTAGGGCGAGTGGGAAGGGGTGGGGGTGAGCTGCCTGCTCCTCTGTCCTGTTCTTATCTCTACGAGGGATAGAGTTTGGGACAGATGGACAGTGCAGAGCTAATAGTCATCCTAAGTACCCTGCTGGGTGGGGTCCCAGAATATATGGCCAGTCTTTCAGAACTTTGGCCTGTTTGCAAAGGCCTCCCATAAACTTAAAAAAAATAATTCTCTCATGCATTCTCTAGACTTCCTTGAATAATTGAAATTCCAAAGTGCAAGGTACATGCTGCTTTTAGGGCTTTGTGTTTGATTGTTGCTGCCTGTGGCTGCGGTGTTGTTTATGTAGGTCTATAAAAGTTCTTGATCGTCCTGCTCTTATCATTTTGATGGGTGGAGACGTATCACAGGGACCTGGTTGACAGCAGTCCCCTCTCCCTGTTGGCCTCGCTTTGTTACCAGCTTTCTGGCTGAGTTTTCTGTCCTGTTGGCTGCCTGCGGAGGGGTGGAGCTCACCTCCCCCACCCTGCGGCCCCGCGCTCTGAGGAGGCAGGATAGGCTCCAGACAGAAACTCGGAAGGACTTTTGGACTCTTGCTCAATGGGCTGACTCAGTGAGGAGGTGGCTGGGCTCTCTTTCCAGACCGGACCGCCTGCACGGGCTCCGCCTACCCCTCCCACCCCTGCTGCAGCCAGCAGCTGTCAGGCCGTGGCCAGCTGGGACCCCAACCAGGGGTGTGGGTTGGTGAGGAGGGAGAGGGGGCGGACACAGGTGTTATCTGAGTGACTGCTCCCTAGCTGAGCCGACACAATGGGATGGCACCTGTACCACCCAAGTGTTCTCCACCCCAAAGCAGGCAGAGGAGCAGGTGATCTCCTTTCTGTCCTTGCGCAGCTTCTGCTCTAGCCACTGCTCGCCCCCCACGTGTCAAGTCTTGACAACCCTGACAGACACAGCCCTGGGTTGTGGGGTGTAGGGAATCTAGGCTGATTCCCCTTCAGGGGTCTCCTAGGAGCAATTGATGGCTTGAAAGTTGTTTGAGGGCTTTGGGACAGCTCTGTGGCATACAGTGGCCGCACATGTCTGCAGATGTGAAATTCAGAGTCCAGGGTGCCAATTCAGAGAGCAGGCGTCCTGGGCTTTGGAGGCCCCAGACCAGGGCCTTGGCCATGTGCCTGCCCACTTCTTGAAGTGCCCTCAGCCACTGGGACAGTAGGACATGCCTCACACCTCCTGGTTTCCTGGGTTGAGGATAGCTGTGTCCCATAAAGACGTCTTCCCCTTCCTTTCTTATTTTTTGGAGACAGGGTCTCTGTTGTCCAGGCTGGAGTGCAATGGCGCGAACACGGCTCACTGCAGCCTTGACTTCTCCAGGCTCAGGCAATCCTCCTGCCTCAGTCTCCTGAGTAGCTGGGACTACAGGTGCACACCACCATGCCCAGCTAATTTTCATTTTTGGAGAGATGGGGTCTAAGTTGTCCAGGCTGGTCTTGAACTCCTGGCCTCAAGCAATCCTTCTGCTTTGGTCTCCAGAAATGCTGGGATTACAGGTGTGAGCCACCATGCGGGGCCCCCTTCCTCCTTTCTTTGTCATCCCATCCCATTTCTTTGTCCCCTTCCTTTTTATCCTGTCTCTGCTCTTTTCCTTCTTGCCTTTCTCCCCAGTCGAGTGGCTCTTGTGGCTACCACAGTTGTCAACCTCCTTAGGCCTAAAGGACTTTGGCCCAGAGGGGAGCTAGGCTGGGCCCCTGAGTGTCCACTGAGAACAGGGTTTGCTGGTGAGGCCCACAGCCCCTTCTCTCGGGCAGCACCCCCAGTGCCAGAATCTCCCACCCTAGATGGTTCCTGAAGCACAGCCCTCCCACTCCCCTGCTCTTAAGCATCTATTAAGCTTTTTGTAACCAAGATGGTTCATATCTAGCTTTTTTGTTATTGTTCTCTTTTCTCTTTAAAGCTGGGGAAACTCCAGGCTACCTACACATCCTGGCCCAGGCTGGTCACGGTATCCCCCCTCCCTGCTCTGTGCCTTCTCCTTCCAGAAATCCACCATGGAGAGTAAGGATGAGGTCAGTGACACCGACAGCGGCATCATCCTGCAGTCTGGTGAGTGTTCAGGGAAATCTCCCTGCCCTGGTCCCTGGCCCTGACTCCTGAGTCCTGAGTCCCCAGGCGCTAGGGCTGGCCCAGCTGAGACTCCCAAGGGCTAAGAGGAAGGGGAGGGAGAGGCCTCTGCTGGGAGGAGGGGGAGGTTCTGGAAGGGCTGGAGCCTCAGGGACGTGTGGAGTTTTCCTCCCTGGAGAAAACTGGCTTGGAGTTTTGGTTCTATCTGGAAGAGGGATCTGCAGTGTTCACCTTTAGCCCCAGTTGAGAAGCTGAAAAATCTCAGCCAGGCACAGTGGCTCATCCCTGTAATCCCAGCACTTTGGGAGGCCAAGGTGGGTGGATCACAAGGTCAGGAGATGGAGACCATCCTGGCTACCACATAGTCCCAGCTACTTGGGAGGCTGAGGCAGGAGAATCGCTTGAACCCGGGAGGCGGAGGTTGCAGTGAGCCGAGATCACAGCATTGCACTCCAGCCTGGGCGACAGGGCAAGACTCCATCTCAAAAAAATATATATCATCTGGCCAATGTGAAATTCTTGCCTCTCTGTTTGGCCAGACCTGTGGGCCTAGTCTGGCCTAGTTTTGACAGAGGACAAGAAATAAGAAACTTTTGTGTGTGTGCAAGAGAGAGGGGTAGTGGGGAGAGGGAGAGAGAGAAAGAGAGGAAGAAGAAGGAAAAGAGGAAGGAGAAGGGAGGAGGAGTAGGGGGAGGACTGCATGGGCAGAACTCCCTCTCTTGCACTGTCCCCACTATAGGTCACCTGGTAGGACGACCCTCCCTTCTGAGCTGTAACATTTGTGCAGCCAAGAGACGTGGTGTTTTGCGACTGTGACACAGGCCACAGCAGGCAGCCTGCAATTTGTGGGCAGGCATGAGATGTGTGTGTGTGTGTGCATGTGTGCTCCCCTAGGGGTGGTCAACAAGTAATGGAGGAGGCTTCCACCTTCAGCCTCCCTGAGCATGTGCCCCCCACCCCTGCAGGCCCTGACAGCCCAGTCTCCCCAATGAAGGAGCTGGCCCACGCAGTGCACAAGCAGCAGAGGGCCCTGGAGGCGAGGCTGGAGGCCTGCCTGGAGGAGCTGAGGAGACTCTGCCTGCGGGAGGCGGTGAGGCCCCAGCCAGCACACACAAGCATGGCGTTCATCTGAGGGGCTGTGGTTCCATGTTTGGGGATGCGGGAGCTGGGGAGAGGGAGCCCTATTCTTGAGGGAATTCTGGACATCAGGCTGGGGGCTGGGGCCCAGAGTCCCCATGACGCAGTGTTTGACCTTGCGCTGGATGGAGAAGAGTCAGACCCAGGCGGGGGCCCAGGCACAGAGAACAAAGCTCATCAGGGGCTGCAGAGGGACTGCGTAGACCTAAGTGCATATGAGTGCTGTAACCTGGGTCGGTGTACTCTGGAGGAAGTGATCAGAAGGAGGTCTGAAGGGAAAGGGGAGGGGTGCAGAGTGGGTCTGAAGACGAGAGAGACAGCGTGGAGGATGGGATGTGGGGAGGAGGGTGGAAGGTGGTCCCAACAGGGCCTCTGTGGAAGGCAGGTACTTGCATTGCAGGGGCCAGTGGCCAAGGCTGGGCAGTGGGCCTGGCTTGACTTTGCTTCCTCCCTAGGAGTTGACGGGCACCTTGCCAGTGGAGTATCCCCTCAAACCAGGGGAAAAGGCCCCCAAGGTTCGCCGCAGGATCGGAGCAGCTTACAAACTGGATGACTGGGCCTTGCACAGAGAGGTGAGGAACCTCAGGAAGCTGCCAGTACCCCTCGACCCCCCAAAGCTGATCACTGAGACGCCACACCTCAGCCCAGTACCCTGGCAGGTTCCCTTCCACCCCTTCACACCCAATGAGGGTGCTTGGCTGCATGTTGGCAAGGGGCACCATGAATATGTAGCCCAAATGGCCGTGGAGAAGGGGCGCCACCATGGAACTGCAAGCTGGGAGCTCAAGGGAGGACACTGGGTTTGGCCCCAGTGGGCAGAAGATCAGTTAAGAGCGCCAGCCACTAACCCAGCGGGCAATAGCCTGCTCAGACAGGTTACTCTGGCCCCTACGGCTGTCCTCCTTTCTCAGGAGGAGGTGGGGGCAGTCAGGCCCTGGGTGCCCTTTCCCCATGGCATCAATGGCAGCAGTTTCCCACGGACCAGCCTGCCCCACCCTTTGGGGTCAGGAGGGAAAGTGTCCCACTTGGGTTCCCACCCTGCCTGGTTCAGCAGGCAGATTGGTGGGTGGGTGCCCCTGCCAGCTTTTCAGGCTGACAAGTTTGCTTTTCAGCTCCTCCCACCCCTCCACCCTCTGCTCCACGTCCGTCCATTGGTGCTGCTGTCTGCCTCTCTTCTGTCTTCAGGGCTTAGGACTGGGACCTAGAGCACTGTGTCAGGGCCGCTCGCTACCCTCTGGGCCCCCAATCTCCCTGCCTCTCTCTAGCCTCATTCCTGCCCCCTCTCTCAGGACCCCCTAAGCAGCCTGGAGCGCCAGCTGGCCCTGCAGCTGCAGATCACAGAGGCAGCCCGTCGGCTGTGCCTGGAGGAGAATCTCAGCAGGCAGGCTCGGCGGCAGCGGAAGCACTCCATGCTGCAGGAGGAGAAGAAGTTGCAGGAGCTCCAGCGCTGCCTGGTCGAGCGGAGGCGCAACAGTGAACCACCTCCGGCTGCTGCCCTCCCCCTGGGCCGAGGTGAGCCAGCAGCCCCAAGGGCCCTTGGGCCATGCTCCTTAAACGAGCTTTTGAGGGATGGTGGGCGCACAGCCCCGTGCCACTGCCTTTGCGTTCGACTCCAGCTGGGTAAAGCTGATTCTTGGGTTCAGCTCCACCCCATCCTGATTCTCTGCAATTCCAGCAAGTCTTCCGTATCCTGTGAGGTCCTCTCCTCCGTCTACTTGGAAAACACCCTACTGTCTCCTTCCGTACCCTCCTCAAAATGCACTCCCTTCAAGAGACTTCCTACACAGAGATACTTCTCAGCTGACCCTGAGCTGAATCCAAGTTGCATTCAACTGGGTAGCCCAGGCCGGTCCCGCTGCCCTCCAGGCCCACAGGGTGATGGCTTCTCTGGGTCAGGGTAGTGTGAGGCTCACGTGAGCCCAAGGCTCTGAGTTGATGTGTAGTCCCCTGGCCTGAGTTAGGCAGCAAAGGGATTGACCATTGCTTTGTGTTACTGATCGCTGAATTGTTTCAGGGGTCCACAGCTACTTAGAAGATGTTCAGGTTGAAATCCAGCAGCACTGGTGCCATGCCCCACAGCCCCTTAAGTATCTACAGCCACCCTGGTCAAGGGTGGGATCCTTCCATGTCTGTTCTCTGCCCTCCTTGTGTCTGTAGTTCAATCCCTGAGCTCCTTGGCCCAGAGACTGGTGGCTGTGGGGGCACCTAGTGAGTTGTTGATGCCCAGGGCCTGCCACATCACATCAGTGTGTCCAGCCCAGGTTAGCTTCCAACAGGGGGTTCTGAGCCCTTAAGTGTGACTGTTTTCCTTTGTCCTGACCCAGGACCAGCCTATCAGGTCAGGACTTGCAGCTCTCCATTCCAAGCCCCACCGCAGCAGGCCCATGACTCAGCTCTGCCCCCCAGTCTCTCACATGGGGCCCAGACCTCCCTGGCTGCCTCAGAGGGAACCAGGAGGGAATGAGGCAGTGGCCCTGCAATAGAATTGGATTCAGAGGTCTCGGCCTTCACTCACATTCTCAGGCTCCCATCCCTGCATGTCGTGTTGGCTTTTTGCCAAGAGTACTCCTCAGCCTGGGAGCAGTCATGGGGAAGCTGGAAGGCCCTTGCTAGTCCTTGTGCCGTGGCCCATGCCTCAGGCAGGGGGTTATCTCAGCACAGGTCTCAGAAGTCCCTGCTCCCATCCATGGCCTCTAATTTAGGGTAGAAAGTGCGTGACCAGACACCACCCAGGTCACCTCCCGCAGCCAAGAGTAGGTGATAAAGAGGAGGTGCCTCCATGTGACAGTTAACCCAGTAAAGTCAGAAGACAGTGGGGCTGACCCAGGGAAAATGGCCAGACCTCCGTCTGGTTCCAGTGGTTCTGGCTTGGCCGTAGAACAACACTCCCAGTCTCTGAGGCTCTAATGAAAGACAAATTCTACATCCTTACTCCACTCTCAGCAGGGATCCCAGCAGCCTTGAAAGGTAGCTGCTGATTTGGGCATGGAAGCCCCTAAGGGCCAGCTTGCTCTGTGCTTGCAGGCAGAGGTCAGAGTGGTGAAACATGCCAGTTGGTTGCAGGGCCTCCTGCTCCCCGCTCCAACCTCACACTGCTCAGCAGCCTCCCCTACCCACCGGTGCTGCCATTGCTGGGAGCTTCTGCCCATGATGGGTGGCAAGGGAGTGTCACCCTGATGCTGCCATTGTGACCCATAATGCTTCTTGTTGGGAGTCAGGAGCAGGCCAGGACTGGCCTGGGGCTCTGTGGAAGGCAAGAGGATGAGATTCTGAAAACTTGGAGTACTCAGTCCAGGTGAAGACAGAGCTGTGGAGAGGAGACAGCTGGTGTAGCTGCTGACTTTTCCTGCATCAGGAATCAAGACCCCACTTGCCAACTTCAGGCCCTGGGATCTAAAGTCCTGTCGTGAGAGCACAGAATGGATCAGTTCTAGACAAGTAATTTCTGTTTTGTGGCTCCTCTGCCCATCCGCCCTTCTAGAAAGGAGGAAGTAAAGCAGAATTATTAGTAGCTGAGGTGTTTTGAATTAAAAAGGGAAGGCCGGGCACGGTGGCTCATGCCTGCAATCCCAACACTTTTGGAGGCCGAGGTGGGCGGATCATGAGGTTAGGAGTTCAAGACCAGCCTGGCCAACATAGTAAAACCCCATCTCTACTAAAAATACAAAAATTAGCCGGGCATGGTGGCGCATGTCTGTAGTCCCAGCTACTCAGGAGGCTGAGCCAGGAGAATCGCTTGAACTTGGGAGGTAGAGATTGCAGTGAGCCGAGATCGTGCCACTGCACTCCAGCCTGGCGACAGAGTGAGGCTTCGTCTCAAAAAAAAAAAAAAGGAGGCCAGGTACAATGGCTCACACCTGTAATCCCAGCACTTTGGGAGGCCGAGGTGGGTGGATCACTTGAGGTCGGGAGTTCGAGACCAGTCTGGCCAACATGGAGAAACCCCATCTCTACTAATAATACAAAATTAGCCAGGCATGGTGGCGCATGCCTGTAATCCCAGCTACTCGGGAGGCTGAGGCCGGAGAATCACTTGAACCCAGGAGGCAGAGGTTGCGGTGAGCTGAGATTGCACCATTGCACTCCAGCCTGGGCGACAAGAGCGAAACTCTGTCTCAAAAAAAAAAAAATAAAAGGGGGTGAAAAAAGCAAACAAACCAAAAACCCAAACAAAAAACCACCCTGCCCCTTTGGGCTCCATATAAGGGTAATTCAGGTTGGGAAGGTAACTGTGCTAAGTGAGAGTCATCAGCCATACTCTGCAGTGGCAAGGAGCAGTCAGGTGTTGAGCTCATTTACTAGGGTGAAGCCCATGAGGGCCACCTGGCACCCACCTGTGCAGTGTAATAAGCGCTCTGGATGCATTTGTTGATCAACAACACCAGCCATTAGCAATATCCTCATAGCATTTCTTTTTTTTTTTCTTTTTTTTTTTGAGACGGAGTCTCGCTCTGTCACCCAGGCTGGAGTGCGGTGGAGCCATCTCAGCTCACTGCAAGCTCTACCTCCTGGGTTCAAGAGATTCTCTTGCCTCAGCCTCCTGAGAAGCTGGGACTGCAGATGCGCGCCACCACCACACCCAGCTAATTTTTGTATTTTTAGTAGAGATGGGATTTTGCCAAATTGTCCAAGCTAGTCTCGACCTCCTGACCTCAAGGGATTCTCCCGCCTCGGCCTCCCAAGTGGTGGGATTATAGGTGTGAGCCACTGCACCTGGCTTCTCATAGCATTTCTGAGATGATGGAAGTGTTCCGTATCTGTGCTGTCCAATACAGTAGCCATTTGCTGCATGTGGCTATGGAGCATTTGAACTCTGCCTAGTGTGACTGAGGAACTGACTTTATTTAGTTTTAATGAAAATAGCCACATGCGGCTAGTGGCAACTGTGTTGGACAGCACAGCCTTGGAGGAGGCTCAGCATTTGTGAGTATGATCTCCACTGCTACCCCTCCGCCTGGGGTGTCCTGTGATGCTGCTGCGGGGCAGAGGTTGGGACAGTGGGTGAGATAGTGAGCAGCTCTCAGAAACCTGAATCTTTTTTAAAAATCGTTTGAGAGATAGGGTCTTGTTCTGTTGTTCAGGCTGGAGTGCAGTGGTGTGATCATACTTCACTGCAGCCTTGAACTCCTGGGCTCAAGTGGTCCTCCTTCTTCAGCCTCTAGGAGCTGGGACTACAGTCATGTGCCACCACACCCAGCAAATTAAAACAAAACAAAACAAAAACTATTTTAGAGATGGGATCTTGCTTTATTGCCCAGGCTGGTCTCAAACTCCTGGTCTTAAGCAATCCTCCTGCCTCAGCCTCTGGAGTAGCTGGGATTACAAGTGTGCCTGGCCCAATAAAAACCTTTATTCCTAAGGTTTTTATAAAAGATCAAAGGCAAGAGACCAGAATTCAGTAGGAGGGTGTCTCTTTAATTGAACCCTAAAGCAAAGGCTACTTGTGAGCCAAGCAAAGCATGGGCTGGCTGTCTACTCAGGAGTCAGGCCCAGCTTCTGGCACCGTGTATCCTGCAAATCTAACACCTGCTCTGGATAAAGATTTTTTTCATTAAATTGTGGAGCAGGCTGGTCATGGTGGCTCAAGCCTGTAATCTCAGCACTTCGGGAGGCCAAGCAGGAGGATCTCTGGAGCCCAAGAGTGTGAGACCTGCCTGGACCATATAGGGAGACCCTGTCTCTACAGATAATTAAAATTTAAAAATTGGATAGGCATGATTGTGGACACGTGTAGTCCCAGCTACTCGGGAGTCTGAGGTGGAAGACTGATTGAGCTCAGGAGGTCAAGGTTGCAATGAGCTGTGATTGGGCCACTGCATTCCAGCCTAGGCAACATCGTAACACCCCATCTTTAAAGAAAAAAAAAAGTTGTGGAGCAAAGGTTAACAAACTTTTCCACAAAGAACCAGATAGCACATATTTTAGGCTTTGTGGGCTGTTTGGTCTTTATCACAATTGTTCAACTCTGCTACTTCAGTGCTAAAACAGCCAGACATTACATAAACAAATTCATAGCAGTGTTCCAACAAACCTTTATTTATAAAAGCAGCCATTGATCTGGATTTGGCCCCTGGGCCATAGTTTGCTAACCCCTGTTGTAAGGGATTTCAAGATGGTTGGAACTTTTTACTTTTCTTTAAACTTCCTGTGTAATGCTCACGCATTTGAGATGCAAGCTCATAGGGGAGAGCCCATAAAGGGTTGTGGTTAAGAGCAGACTCCAGTCAGACTGTCTGGGTGTGAATTCTGACTCAACCAGCTTTGTTGAATGTACAACCTAAACCACGTTACTCAACTCCTCTGAGACGTGGTTTCCTCAACTGTCACTTGCAGATGATAACATCTACCTTACGTGGTTGTTATGAGAATTACCTGAATTAATATATATAAAGTGCTGTATTTAGAAATGTATTGGCACAGTAGAAACATTAGCAATTATTACTTTTTCCTCATCTTCATTCTCAAACACAGTTGCAAAAGTTTCGTTAGTTCCATCCAGGTCACTTTAGGCTTATTCTTAAGATCTGAAGACTTGACCGGGTGTGGTAGCTCACGCCTGTAATCCCAGCACTTTGGGAGGTTGAGGCGGGTGGATCACCTGAGGTCAGGAGTTCAAGACCAGCCTGGCCAACCTGGTAAAACCCTGTCTCTACTAAAAATACAAAAATTAGCCAGCCATAGTGGTGGGTGCCTATAATCCCAGCTACTCGGGAGGCTGAGGCAGGAGAATCGCCTGATCCTGGGAGGCAGAGGTTGCAGTGAGTCAAGATCACGCCACTGCACTCCAGCCTAGGTGACAGAATAAGACTCCATCTCAAAAAAAAAAAAAAAAAAAAAATCTGAAGGCTTAAGTTTGTTCAAGGGCAATAGCAAAAATGAGTTCCCTCTGATTTCCTAGGTAACAAGTGCTGCTATACCATGCAGAAAAGTCATACTACATTACCCTCAGGTGACTTGCCAGATCACCAACTGAAGAACCTTCCATGGGGCCAGCTGGCCAGACCTTATCTTAAATTCAAATTCCTATCTTACGTTGCTCTTGTTGTTGGTAACGCAGCAGGTCTCACATTGGGATCTTTGAATTGTATTTGTGATGTGAGATGATTATACACAAATTAGAGTGAAATTCCCTTTTTTAAATTTGAGACAGGGTCTCACTCTGTTTCCCAGGCTGGAGTGTGGTGGTGTGATCACAGCTCACTGCAGCTTCAACCTCCCAGCCTCAAGTGATCTTCCCATCTCACCTTCCCGAGTAGCTGGGACTACAGGCACTCACCATCATGCCTAGCTAATTCTCATATTTCTTGTAGAGACCAGATTTTACCATCTTGCCCAGGCGGGTCTTGAACTCCTGGGCTTAAGCCATCCACTGCCTTGGCCGCCTAAAATGCTGGGATTACAGGCATGAACCACCACGCCTGGCCATGAAATTCTTTTTATCCCAAGGGCTTCTAAAATGACTCTTTGTCTTTCCTTTCCACTGCCAAGAAGCCCTGCCAGAGGACATCTTTTTTCTTTTTTTTGACAGTTGGGGAAACTGAGGTCTAGAGCATTGAAATCGTTTATTCAAAGTTGCAGAGCTAATATCAGAGTCAGGATTAAAATCACATTTCTTGTCTCCTAGCCTCTGCCTTCTATTTTTTTCTACTTCTGTGTAATAAGTTTACAGCCAGGCCAGGTGCAGTGGCTCACGCCTATAATCCCAGCACTTTGGGAGGCCAAGGCAGGATGATCACTTGAGCCTAGGAGTTCAAGACCAGCCTGGGCAAGACAGCAATACCTCTTCTCTACAAAAAATAAAAAATTTAGCTGGATGTGCTGGCATGCCCCTGTGTTCTCAGCTACTTGTGAGGCTGAGGTAGGAGGATCTCTTGAGCCTGGGAGGTCAAGGCTGCAGTGAGCCATGATCACACTACTGTACTCCAGCCTGGTCAACAGGGTAAGACCCTGTCTCAGAAAAAAAAAAAAAAATTCACTCCCAATGTGTATTTAGCATACAGTGGGTATTTCCTCATAACGGATGCTGTCCTGGGGGAGTGATCAGGCCTGAGCTGCTCAGCACTGCTGGTTACTCATATCTGTTTGTTCATTTCTTCACTTCCTTCTCTTCTCTCCCCTTTGTCTTTCCCAGAGCTCAGTGCCTCTGATGACAGCTCCCTGTCAGATGGGCTCCTCCTGGAGGAAGGTGAGAAGGACGTTTGGGGGCCTATTGTCAAGGCTGGACTCCTACTGCAAGACCATGGGGTTTGGGTAGTTTTCTGGTATGGAATTTAAGTGGGAGTGAAGGCTAGGGTGCCAGGCTTAGGATTTCCGCTTGGACCTCATGTCGATTTCCATGTGCCCTTGCACATGCTCAGTTGAAGATGGGGAATGTGCTGATCTCCCATTCTGGAAGCTCATTATTTTTACAGGGAAAGGAAAGGTGAACTCCAAGGGAACTGATCAACCCCAGATGTCCCTCCTTCACCCTGGGATTTGATTTCAAGATGCACCAGTCAGAGCCAAAGAGCAATCTGCCCACAATCATTGCCAGTTTTGAAAGGAAGGGAGCACTGGGGGAGGAAACACAAGTCTATAGATTAAGAACCCTGTGTACAAACCATGAGGATGCCAGGGTCAAGGTGGATCGAGAAGCTGTTACAGTCCTGCCCAGGGGAGTGCCCAAGCCAATAAGGAAATAGGCCATATGGGCATGGCAGGAACAAGAAAAATAGGTAAACAAAAGATAACTGCAGACATGGTACCAGGAACAAAGGTTAGAAAGTGGAGCACTGTAAGCCCAAGAGAGACAACCCAGGAGTCTTCTTGAAGCAGGAAGACATAAAATAGTGCTGTGTGGGAAGGAGTAAGTCCCAAAGAAGAAAACATGTTTGAGCATCTAGGGCTGGAGCCATGGCCTGGAGCAGCCGCACAAGCCAGCATGGGAGGGAGAGGGAGGCATGGGCTATGGTTTGTGGAGGTTCTTGTTGGGCCGGTTCCCCCAGCCTCTGGCCTTACCAGGTTACTTTTACTCCTGCAGAGGAATCCCAAGTGCCAAAACCTCCTCCAGAGTCCCCAGCCCCACCTTCTCGGCCTCTCCCACCCCAAACCCTTGAGGGTCTGCAGCCAACAGAACCTGAGCCTGGGGGCCCGGAACGGGCTCCAGTCCAGAACAGCCCCTGGAAGGAGACCAGCCTGGACCACCCCTATGAGAAGCCCAGGAAATCTTCTGAGCCCTGGAGCGAATCCAGGTCAGGATCGGGGAGGGAAGGCAGAAGGGGAGGGCTGGGAGTTGGTGGGAGCTGTGCTGGGGATGGCCATAGGCTGGGTGGATGGAAGAGTGGAAAGGTGGAGGAGAGAGCTCCTGCAGCAGTGGGATGGAAGCATGAGCCTTGGTAGTTCCCCAAGGGTGCTGGCAGTTTGCCCCACTAACTTTGGGAGCCCCTTCCACTGCATCCCCATTCTTCTGCACCTCTTGAGCTCCTGAATGGAGGCATTCCTGCCACTGACCTGTCTCTAATCCTTCTGCAGCAGCCCAGCCACCACGCCACAGGATGGGCCCAGTGCCTCTAGCCTGTGGCTTCTGGAGCCTGCCTCCTACCACATGGTTCCCATCCGTGGTGTTCCTGGCCAGTGGCAGGGCCGCACCAGTGCCCCAGCCACCCCCGAGATGCAGGGGAGGAGGGGCCAGTCGCAGTCTCTGAGGTAAGAGACAGCTTCCCCAGAGAGACGGGGGACCCACTCAGAGCTTATAGTTGGAGGGTGGGAGCTCCCAGGACACAGGTGGGACAACCCTGGGTGACACATGGCTAGTGCCTTGGCTTCTCTTAGGATCTCTTCTTGGGGCATCTCTTGACAGAGACTACACTGCCACCCGCAAAGCCAAAGGCCATCCATGAAGCAAGTTGTTTTCTTCCAAAGACTCTAGTTTTGTCTTTTTGCATAACTTGATTCAAATTTTCTACCCTTGCCATGTTTCCTCGCGCTAGTAATTATTGGTCACTGACAATAGGCAATTCACTTTTTCAGTTGACGCACAGTTGATTCTCATTATTTGTGGTAGTTATGTTCTATAAAGAAAAATTGACGCAAATCCTGAATTAGCAAATACTGTATTTCCCCTGGGGAAATATAGGGTTAGGTTCCTGTGAGCCTTTGGTCACATTTTGCATCAACTGATTAATATATAACCTTGTGTTATGTGAGTTTCTGCTTAAGGACACCTTACTTAATATGGGTTGTTGATCCATTAACTCATGGCCAACGGCACTCTAACTCATACCCGGATGAACCTTACCTAGCACACATAGTTTCTCCATAAGGCACACCATAGCCTTTTCCCAGTATGCATTAGGGAGGAACAGTAGATAGCACTTCAGCACTGTATCTGGGGCCATTTTAAACAGCAGAATCACCAATCAAAGCAAAAACACACACACTACATAAATATGCCACAAAAAGGACACTGTGTGCTTACAGCATGAGAACTGAAACATGAGGGCAGAACATGGCCTCGTTTAACCTCAACTGAAACTTAAAGAGACTCAAATTTGTCACTCTTCTGCAGTGTCCAAGAATGACCATGAAAGCCCTGTGTATATTGCTTTGGGGATTAAAAATAAAGTTTAGCAACTAGGAAAATTACAAATACTGAATCTGCAAATAATGAGAATTGATTGTATGTTACTTTCTAAGTCATCTGCTACTTGGTAATAGTTTAAATGGTTAACTGTTGACAGGCAGTATTGGCCATACCATGGGGGGACTGGGGCACCATGAAAGCATTGCTGAATTCTCCGTCAGCTTAAGTTTGCTGGTCAGGCAGCACTGAACTGGGGGCAGCTTGGGACAACTGCTCTCAAGTAAAGCAATGGATTTTATTTAGTTTTTAATTTTTTTTTTTTTTTTGAGGTGGAGTCTTGCTCCTTCATCCAGGCTGGAGCACAGTGGCGCAATCTTGGCTCACTGCAACCTCCGCCTCTTGGGTTCAAGTGATTCTCCTGCCTCAACTTCCTGAGTAGCTAGGATTACAGGCATCTGCCACCACACAGCAATAGATTTTATATTTTACGTGCTACCAGGGCCATTTTACAAACCATACCTTTGTGCAAATTAGGAAAAAGGGGGACAGAGCCCCATACCTGGGTGCATTAGCAGAGTGAAGCAAAGGCTGGATTTCAGCCCCTGCCAGTCCTGGGCTGCATGTAACTGCTCTGGGTACCACATGACAGCTTTTACGCGTTCAAGTCAGGTACCTGGCAGTGCCTACCGAATAGATGCTGTGGATGATCTGCCACTGGACACGGTGTACCTCAGCTGAAAGTACTTAATGTAGTACTTTTAAAAGAGTACTTAATGTGCTACTTGATGTAGCACACTTTACATGAATCACAAGCTTGTGAATGCAGCAGGTACACATCTGCACACAGTGAGGGAATGCGTTGCACCCACACAGCCCAGCAGAGGGTTTGTTGGTTTGCTTTGGGAGGTTTGACCTAAGACCCTTGCAGGAGGGCCATGCTTGGGTCTTGAGGTAGAGCAGGACTCACCTGTTTTAACGCCACCTCCTATCCCAACCCCAGCGTAGAGTTTCTGACCCCCACACTCAGAATGCCTCTCTTTCCCTCTTCAGGGTGGATTCCTTCCGGGCGGGTCCTGAGGGCCGAGGTCGCAGCGCCTTTCCCCGCCGCCGCCCCACTCACTACACGGTGACAGTGCCAGAGTCCTGCTTTCCCGCGACCAAGCCCCCGCTGCCCCACGCCTCCTGCCACTCCTGCTCAGAAGACAGTGGCTCTGACATCTCCAGCATCTCCCACCCCACCTCACCCGGCAGCAGCAGCCCTGACATCTCCTTTCTGCAGCCTCTCTCCCCTCCCAAGACCCATCGTCACCGCGGGGCCTGGGGCCCAGCCGGCAGCAGAGAGCTGGTCGCCCACCACCCCAAGCTACTGCTGCCACCTGGCTATTTCCCGGCGGGGCGGTACGTGGTGGTGGCTGAGAGCCCCCTGCCGCCTGGCGAGTGGGAGCTGTGCCGCCCAGCCCCGGGCCCCGCCTACGAGGAGGAGGGCACTCCCCTGCGCTACCAGCGGCTGGTGCCCTCCCGCAGCCGCATTGTGCGGACGCCCTCCCTGAAGGACAGCCCGGCAGGCCGGGGGCTCAGTAAGGCCGCCGTGTCCGAGGAGCTCAAGTGGTGGCACGAGCGTGCACGCCTCCGGAGCACCCGCCCCCACTCACTGGACCGCCAAGGAGCTTTCCGGGTCAGGAGCCTGCCCCTCGGAAGAGAGGGCTTCGGGCGAGCCCTGGGACCCCGGGCACAGGTACGGCTGCTCTGGAGGGACCCCGGGGCCAGGCAGGAGGGCTGTCTTGCTGGGGAGGGGCTATAATTCTAGCATGTCCAAGGGTAGAGAGGCATCAAAGCAGCAACCTAGTGGCCGGGTAATCAAACCCCAACTAGGAAAAACAGGCCAAAAAAACATTTCCTCTTGGCTTTGGAAGGCACTCTTGGCTTCCCTGGGGCACCTCCTAATTTTGCCTGCCATGTCTAGCTCAGAAGCGTATACACTGGTGGAGATGATCCCCGAAGACAGCTGAGACTTTTTCCCTCCCTAAATGATGATCCACAAAGCAGATAAGCCTCTTCATAATCAAAGGTCCAGTCCAAATCAGCCCCTCAAACTTCCATTTGAAGGTATAGGACAAAGGGAGAGTAGGAAGTGTGTTGCAGAAGCCAGAACCAGTGATTTTCTGGGCATCAGCATCCTCCCTGACACTCCTCCTCCCCACCAAGCCGAGAAGAAGGGTGGCATCAGAGTTAAGAGCACCGACCCTCAAGCTAGACAACCAGGTTCAAATCCCAGTTCTGCCACTTACGAGCTGTATGACTGGGCAAATGACTTAACCCCTTTGGACCTAGTGTCTCCTCCCCTGTGAAATGGTAGTAGTAGAGTACCTGTCTCATAGGGCTGCCAAGAGGCTGAATGATTACAGCAATGCATGGTAAGCACTAGATATGTGATATTATCATCTGGGGCCGCAGAGGCCACGGAGCAGGCTGGAGGGTAGTATATAGGATAGAGCACCGTGATACTGGGTAGGGTGGCAGCCTTGGTTTTCTTGGCCCCTATTTCTTCATTCTCGAAGTGGGGAGCCACACACAGGAATCCTTTCTTTATTCTTTCTCCCTGGTACGGAGGGCTCTGCAGGGGATGTGCTCCAGAAGTTACCAACAAGCTGCTTCTTTGAGACCCCAGGTTCCCAGCAGGCCCAGCTGCGTGTTCCTCCCCCACCCACGGTTCTTTGGACTGCAGCTGGCATCCTGGGCCTGGCAACACCCTGGCCCCAGTCCCAGGCCGCGCCCTCCAGCTGACGTGCTTTTCCCTTCCTGCGCGCTTGGGCCTGTCCTTGGCTGGATAGACCCAGCCCATCCCAACCTGCCAGACAGGGAGGGTGATGAGAAGTGAGCCCAGGAAAAGTGGGGGAGGAGGAGGTCAGGGGCGCCCGTCACACCCCAAAGGACTGGAGGAAAATGTGTAAAGGGGGTCCCTGAAGGACAGAGAGCCTCCTGGGAGGAAAGGGCTGAGTGCCAGGGCCTGCTGCTGCTGCTGCTTCTGCTGGTCAGTGTCCCTAAGGGATAAGGATGGTATAACTGCGCCTGCAGTCCCCGCTTTTCGGTCTGGTTCATTTACCCACCTCTCCTTTCTTCCTGACCCTGGCAGGTGCCCACAGTGTGTGTGCTGCGGAGATCGCCTGACGGGGCCCCTGTGCAAGTCTTTGTACCTGAGAAAGGAGAGATCATCAGCCAGGTGTAACTCTGCGCCCCATGCTGGAAAAGACTGTTTCATAGAGGGGCTGGGCTGAGACCCCCCACCCCTGAGTGCCTCTTTCAGCTCCCCCATCCCCATCGCAGGCCGATGACCTGGAGCTGAGACCTTTTATGGTTTTTTTTACACGACTTTTTTCAGAAGCCCTGACCTAAGGATTTATATATGTGGATTGTCCTCAAGACCCCTGTGATATGATGATGCTTTATCCCCCAGAGTTTAGCCTACTGGACTTAAGGCCTTGCCTGTCTGACTGACAGCCTCTATCTCCTTATGCAAGACAAGTGGCAGGGGATGAGTGAAGCAGAGTGGGCCACCTTGGGAGTTCTCCAATGCTCTGTGCTCTGGTTCTAAGAACTTCCCTGGGGAACTGCCCCTGGCCCTCCTGTCCCACTATTGCTGGAGGCTGGACATGGTACATACATGGTACATGAGAGTCATGCACATGGTTCTCCCCCATTTCCCAGGTCTCTGAGTACCCCAGCCTGGGATGGGGGAGAATCCTTTCCCCTTTTCTAATGTGCTCTGTGATGCACACACCAAGTGGTAGGTCAAAGGTCAGTATATCCTGGTGGTGTATTGTCTTGCTAGACTTTCCTATTTTCCTGACCCCATAAATCCTCTTTAGGGACCCAGTCACTATACCCTGTCTATGCCCTGTGGGCTCCTAGACCTCTGAGCTTTGAGTCAGTGGCATCATGGTTTGTAGCCTCAGGGAGTCCGGCGGGGAACTGGTCCATGCTGGTGCTTAGTGGTCACCTTTTGACAACCACCTCTGGGCATCTCAAGGGCTTGCAGCCCCATTGCTCCTTCTAACATTTTGTTTGTTTGTTTTTGAGATGAAGTCTCACTCTGTCACCCAGACTGAAATGCAGTGGCAAGATTTCGGCTCGCTACAACCCCCGTCTCCTGGGTTCAAGCGAGTCTCCTGCCTCAGCCTTCTGAGTAGCTGGGATTACAGGCAAGCGCCACCATGCCTGGCTAATTTTTGTATTTTTAGTAGAGATGGGGTTTCATCATGTTGGTCAGGCTGGTCTCAAACTCCTGATCTCAAGTGATCTGCCCGCCTTGGCCTCTCAAAGTGCTGAGATTACGGGCATGAGCCACCGCACCCGGCCCTTCTAACATTTTTTCATCGTAGTCTCAAAAACCAATACTTTACAAGTGGTTTTGGAAAGGCACCACTTTTGTGGCATGTTCTGGTTGCGGGAGGGAGTCACAGTTCTTACTGCCCCCACCAGCTATGCTTCTGCTCTGAGAAGGTGCTTATTTATACCAACATGGACATACTTACTCCCAAGGACTGATGAGATGCTGAATTTTCTTTGAGGGCATTCATTATTTGTCCCAGCTGCAGTGGCTGGGTGGAAGCTGCATGTGCTAAGACCACCCAGCCATCCCTGGGTTCTCATCCTAGGGCCTTCTTTGCTTCCAGGTCAGGGGACCTGCTTCAATGAGAAAGCAACTGAGTTGAGGCTAGGAGAGGTAGGGAGAGCTAAGTTCTGACTTTACCTGTGCAGAACTCTGCTCCTATCTTACCTGGACTGGAACAGACTGTGAGTATAGCGGAAGGTTCAACCTCTGGTGTCTGACCTAAAAGAGGCACAGTTCTTCCTACTGGAAAGAAAACGGTGTAGCTGATCGCACAAGGGTGCCAAGGGAAGACCCAGGATGGCCCATCAAAGGAACCTGTGGGAGGACGCAAGAGGCTGAAGGGATGCACCTGGCATTTCTCTCACTGTGCTCTTACTGCATCAGCAACCCTCACCTTTTGGGCCTACTCTGCCCCTCATGTGTGAATACCCTGCTTGGATGCTGTACTTTTCTGGTTTGTCTCTAAGCCCCTTTCCCCAGGGCATGTTGGTTTCCCTGGTCTCTCAGTGTCCTAACTGGAGCCCAGAGTGCCTTGGTCTGAACCAGGAGATAGCTAAGCACTGGCCTTCCACACCTAAGCGTCCTTTACATTAACTTATTGGTCCTGTATAACACCTGGTGCCATTGCCAAGTGGCTGTGTCCTCAGCTACAGAGCTGGAATTGTGTGGGGTTTAGTACTAAATACTTCAATAAAGTCTGTTTTTTGTGATTGGCTGAGCTGGGGATGAGGTATTATTATTATTATTATTATTTTGGGGGGGGTGTGTGTGCGTGTGCCAGGTTTCCTGAGCAAAGGCTGAACCCAGCCCCTTGGGCTGCCTGCCAAGGTGACTGAGTTGCCCGGCCCCTCCAGCTGGGCTGGCCAGGTCCCTGGGGAGCTGGTGTGATGGGTTGCCTGGTAGAGGGAGGCTCTCAGATTCTCTGCCTCCGGGGCAGGGTGGAAGCCAGCACAACCCCTGTCAAAGCTCCTTACGGCCTCTTCAGCTTGAGGAGCTGGCCTCTGGGAGTCACTTCCCCAAGGACAGGGGAGTGGCCAGGCAGACGGTAGAGATGGGTGGCTCAGCGCCTCCAAGCCATTCCTGGAGCTTTGACTGCCCGGAGCCCAGGCTCATGAGAAACAGCCCCTTCCCCTTACCTGGAAGACTGGGGCCCCTCCTTGGGGTGGTGATGAGGCGGGGCTCTTAGTCCCCCGCCCGCTGCATGGGGTCTCACTGCGGCATGGTGGGGAGCGCCACCTTGGACACTTCCGTGCCTGCCCTGCAGGGGTCGCTCCAGGGCCCCGGAGCACAGCGCCCCCTGGAGAGGCTGTGCCCGGACCTGAAGCGCCGGCCTGAGGCGCCGGAGTGTCAGGTAAAGGGTTCCCCCTTCCCGCCTGTTCCCTCCACAGCCAAGGAAGGGGCGAGGCAGGGCCGCGGCCCTCGCTGCAGAAGGGGACCCTCCAGCCCTGCCTGGCTGCAGCTCTCGGGGCCGCGGGGATCTGTGGGCCTCAGGGGTCTGGGGCACTCCATTCTTGGGGAAGGTATGGGAGGGGAGACGGCTCCAGGGTCTCTGGAGAAGTTGTAGGGTATCCTGATCTCAGACCTGAGCGCTTCGACTTATTATTTGTGGGGAATGGGGCGCTGGATTCTGTATTTTAGACGATGGTGAGTTAGGCCCAGGGAAAACTGAGGGTGAGCAAGTTCCCAGGGGATGGCCTGTCCGAGCGGCAGCTCCCCAAAACAGGACAGACAGAGAGCATCTAAGAGGAGGGATACAAAAGAGACGCACACAGGGGCAGAGCAAGGCCCTTTAAGGCAGTGAGCGATGGGACGCGCCCGTTCGGGGACCCGAAGTGCAGGGCCGTGAGAGAGGCAGGTTGCGCAGCAGTTTCTTCCTGGTCCAGGAGCAGGCTTCCCTGGGCCATGTCTGGGAGGGGCAGACATGTGGGGGCTCTTAGCTCCCGTACCATAGGGCAGAAGGAAGGTTATGAATTAGGGAGTGGGGACAGAAGCCTCTGGGAAGAGGGGACCTCGGGATTTTGGCAGCAAGACTCCTAGAGGCAATTTGGCCTGGAGGCACAGGGATGGCCACTGTGACCTAGGAGCCCACCTGTGAGTCTGAGATTCTCCATGCTGGAAGATCCCAGAATGGAAGACTCCTAGGCAAATCAGGAGGGACCAGGGCCCTTCAGAGGGTCCCGAATCTTCCCATGGGAGGAAATGGGAAGCTGGACCCTGAGACCCAGCACTGGCCCTACTCAGCCAATTCCTTTTGTGGTAAAAGGCAGGTCTGCCTCCTGCAGCTTCCCCCTGGAGTGAGTGCAGAGGGCTGCATCCCCAGGAAGGACTATCTCACGCCTGGCCTGCACACTGTTCTCCTCGCAAGCTGCAGGCTGCTGCCCCAAGCATACAGATGAATCCGAGTTCTAACAAGCGAAAATCAAAGAGAGTAACCTTTGAGCCATCGACATTACAAGCCTCTTGGAAGTCCCACTTGCAGGGTGAGCAGTTGGTCCTGTATCTCAACTGCGGGTGCTCAGAAGTGGTGACGATTGCCCAAGCCCTCGCTTGAGGTGTACCTAATGGGCACACATCTGCCCACTTCTGGCTACCCCTGTCACAGCTCTAGTCTCTGCGTGCCTGCCTCCCTGAGAAGTCTGGAGCTGGGCCAGGAACAAGACATTGCCTGATAATTTGAGTGACACCTCCTGTAGCTGACAGCTGTTCAGGACAGCCAGAGCGCTCTCTCTCTCTCTCTCTATATATATATAGATAGATAGATAGATAGATAGATAGATAGATAGATAGATAGATAGATAGATTAGATAGATATGTATATATTTTTCTTTTGAGACATGGTGTCATTCTGTCACCCAGGCTAGGATGCGGTGGCACCATCATACCTCTCTGCAGCCTTGACCTCCTGGGCTCAAGCAGTCCTCCCACCTCAGCCTCCCAAGTAGCTGGGAGTACTGGTGCGTGCCACCGTGTCCAGCTAATTCTTGGTTATTTGTAGAGATGTGGTCTCACTATGTTGCCCATGCTGTTCTTAAGCTCCTGGGCTTAAGGGATTCTCCTACTTTGGCCTACCAAAGTGCTAGGATTACAGGCATGAGCCACTGCACCCAGGCAGAGAAATCTTTGGATAACATCTACATGCCAACAATTCCCAAATTGGTATCTGCAGTCCATATCTGCAATTCTGGAATTCCAGGCTCTTACATCCAACTACCTATTGATATCTCCACTTTGATGCCTAGTAGACATCTCAAAATTAATATATTCCAAACTGAACTCTTAACTTTATTCTCAAAGGCAAATCTGTTCTGTTCTCCCACATCAATTAATGGGAACTCAATCTTTCTAGTGCATCAAGGCCAAAATTCTTGACTTCTGTCTCTCATATGCACATCTAGCCATCAACTATTCCTAATTCCTATTGGTTCTACCTTCAACATGGATACAGAATCTGATCATTCACTTCTAACCACTTCCCTTGGTGTGAACCACCATCTCACCTCTGGATTATTGTCACAACCTCCCAGTTGGTCTCTTGCTTCTGCCCACACCCATGCCATTCTCCACCTCTACTCCTGATCTATTCTCAGCTGAACAGCCAGAGTGCTGTTGTTAATCAAAGTCAGACCACTTTTATTCAAAACCTGCCAGGGGCTCCTGTCCCCAAAGCCAATTGTCTTTACAATAAGCTATGAGTCCCTCATGATCTGCCCCATTAGTACTTTACCTTCACTTCCCACCACTCCTCCCTGCTCCTCCCACTCCAGGCACCCAGGCTTCCTTGCTGTTCCTTGAGCTTTCCAGGCATGATCCTGCCTCTGAGCCTTCACATTTACTATTGCCTTGGCTTTGAATGCTCTCTCGCCAGATATATAAATGGCTTGATGTTTACGTCCTTCAAGCCCACTCAAATACAATGAGATTTTCTTTGACTTCTGTGTATATACAAACCTATATGGGCAAATACAAAATAGAAATTCTTTTATAAGGGTAATTCCTGTGAAGGAACTCCCTGGTGTGTAAGAAGCTCTATGACAGCAAAGATTATTGTCTCTTTTCTTCCCTGATGGGTCTAGGAGAGTCCTCTTACATAGCAGACTCTCAATAAATGTACACTGAAGAATGCACTTATTCATTTTCTACTATATGCTAGGAAGCATTCTAAATATTTTTTCACATATTAATTTATTTAAATCCACAACAATAATAGATACTATGATGATCATCCCCCAGGTTAAGATGTTAGAACTGAAGCTTGGGGGAATTTAATTTGCTCAAGATCACTTCTTACATGTATTAAGACTCATTGTTCATTTAATCCTCAAATAACAACAGATAGTATCATCTTCCCTGTCATACAGATGGGAAAGGTAAAGTTGACAGAGTTTAATTTGCCGGAGATCACAGAGCTGATGAAGCAGAGGAGCTGAGCTTTGAACTCATGCAGTTTGGTGCCAGGGCCATTGTGCGTAGCTCCCGTGCCTTGGGTTCAAGCCCTATTCCGAGTGGCTTTTCTTGCAGGGCAATGTGAGAGGGCAGCAGCAACTTGAGCTCAGGCCCATGGCCCATGTTGCTTTGGAGCCCAGTGGTGTCACCAGCTCCTTCTTCTTGCTTTACCTTCTTCTGACTCCACTTGGGGCAAACAGGCTCTATTCCTGGCCTCAACCCTCAGGCTCAGGGAGGGACGCCCTGAAGGCTATGCCAGTACAGTTGGCAAAGAAGCCTCCCAGGCTGACTTGGGGTTTCAAGTCCATTCACAACCAAAACTTTCAAAGTCAGTGTAGGACAACCCTAGAAATTTGTGGCCACTGGGAGTGACTTAAAGGTCTCCTCCCAATTGTTCTTCCATCCCAGGCCATACCTGATGCAGAAAATCTTCCTTCTTTTCTTTTCTTTTCTTTTTCCTGCCTGCCTGCCTGCCTTCCTTCCTTCCTTCCTTCCTTCCTTCTTTCTTTCTGATGGAGTCTCACTCTGCCACCCAGACTGGAGTGTTGTAGTGTGATTTCGGCTCAGTGCAACTTCTGCCTCCTAGGTTCCAGGGATTCTCCTGCCTCAGCCTCCTGGGTAGCTGGGACTACAGCTGCATGCCACCACACCCGGCTAATTTTTTATTTTTAGTAGAGACGGGGTTTCACCATGTTGGCCGGGCTGGTCTCGAACTCCTGACCTCGGGTGATCCACCCACCTCAGCCTCCCAAAGTGCTGGGATTACAGGCATGAGCCACTGCACCCGGCTGAAAATCTCTTAACTAGTCCCACAGGATGGCCTTTCCACTTTGGCTTCCATTGGCCTAGAGAAGCTGGTTCTGGGGACCCTGGTAGCTTCTGAACCTCCTTGGTGGACAGGAAGGGAGGGGGAGGATGACTCTGCCTTCCTGTTCCATCTGGTGGAATCAGCTAACCTCCCCCAACTACATCCCTTTTCAGGATTGCGCCAATTAGAAAGAGAAGCCTATGCGTTCATACTGGAATTTCTAGAAGAAGAACATATGGTAAGAAAGTTATCTGGACCTTTGTGTGAACTGAGGCAGAAAGTAGAAAAAAAAAAGAGGGCTTACGCCTCCTTGGGTTTTGAGTACTAGCCCTGGCTTGGAAGCCACCAGATACTCAGCCCATTGTTGCCTCCTGTCCAGGCAGATCTTTGGTGGCTAGGCCACCGGAGAGGGTGTCTAGGGCTCAGATCTTGCAGTTCCCTTCCTGTAGGAAGGATCTTCATCAGAGATCCCTAGCCCCACTGTCCTCCAGAGCCCTACATAGGTGACCAGACATTGGTGAGCAGCAGTCCTGGGGACAGGGATATCAAGTGAGAAAATCAAGTGAGCAATCCATCCTTTGGCCTAGTTGACTGGAACCTGGGCTGGGTGTGAGGAGCAGGGGTCGGGTGCAGGTCTCAGGTGCTGCCTGTGGGCAGAGCTAAGGACTGAAGCCCAGCTTATGGGCAGCAGTCTGTGTATTGTGTCCTAGTCTGAGTTCGCCAAGCTGAAGTTCCTGAGTGCTGTGGAAACTTTGAGTAGTGCTGTGCGTGCCCAGGCAGATGGCAATATGGACCATTACTATCCCAAAGCCATCCTGGCCAAGAAAATTGAGGTGAGAAAGACCCAAGCTCTTCTGGGAGTTCATCATTCAGGGATGAGGATGACAAGTCCTGGACCTGAGGGCTGGCATCTCTCTCTGAGGGGGTTCTTGTTGTTGTTTTTGTTGTTTTTTTTCCTGGCCTTTCTAGATACTAATTCTTGAAGAATCCACTGAGATTTTGATGGGCAACATGCGTCAGCAAGCCATGCTCTGCATCGTGGCGCTGAGGTGCCTTTCCTGCCCTTACCCCTCAGAGCGCCTGGTCTCTGGTGCTGAGAACATTTGGGTTGGGAGGGAGGGCAAGGTTTGGGGACTTAACTTTTGGCCTGTGGGTGGCAGAGCCCCAGGGGCTGCCACTTTATCTGCCTGCATCCTGGGGTGGAGGGGGGTTCTCCAATTGTACTTTTGAGAGCCTATTAGGACATCCAGTGAGCGAAGCTTCCCCAGAAACCGGGGCCCTCCTTTCCTGGAGGAGAGGCCATTAGAAAGTGTTTGGGGTCTCAGGTCCCCACTGTTTGCCTGCACCTCAGAGAGAGCAGCAGAGCAATTCTCCCAGAGGGTCCTAGAAACATAACCCAGCCTCTCCCAGGGATCTCCAAAGCCCCTTGTCATTCCCTGCCTCCCCCTGAAGTCAGGTGAATCCACCATTCCGCTTGTCCCAGAAACTGGATCTGGTAAATGTGGGCGTCTCCAGCCTGTTCTCTCTGCCGCCCATCATGCCCAGCCTGTACCGAAGAGACAATGCGAGTCTCTACCTCCAGGTAATCCCCACCTCTTCATGGAGCTCCACAGGGAGGGTTTGTCTTTGGAGTCACCTCCTGTCCTTTAACTCCCCGCCCTTCTCCTACTCTGATCTCTCTGCAGAGCCCTTGGCCCCGTGGCCCTCGGGCTGCTAAGAAGCACTCCGGCTGTCATACCCTCACCTGCCTTTCCAGGGATCGGCCCATGCTCCCACCCTATCCATGTCCTTGCTCACTAAGGCTCACAGCAGCTTCAGTCATGGGAGGTGACAGTCTGATAATAAAACCCAGGGATACTATGGAGCAACTGACCAGTAGACTGTCAGATCTTCCCAGGGGCCTGCAGTTTTTTATTTTATTTTTAATTTTTAAATTTTGAGACAGGGTCTCACTCTGTTGCCCAGGCTGGAGTATAGTGATGCAATCATAGCTCACTGCAGCCTCACCCTCCGGAGCTCAAGTTATCTTCCCACCTCAGCCTTTGTAGTTTTAAAAATTGATGTTTCCTGCCGGGTACAGTGGCTCACGCCTGTAATCCCAGCACTTTGGGAGGCCGAGGCAGGCGGATCATGAGGTCAGGAGATTGAGACCATCCTGGCTGACAAGATGAAACCCCATCTCTACTAAAAATACAAAAATTAGCCGGGCGTGGTGGGGGGTGCCTGTAGTCCCAGCTACTCGGGAGGCTGAGGCAGAAGCATGGCGTGAACCCGGGAGGCAGAGCTTGCAGTGAGCCGAGATCACGCCACTGCACTCTAGCCTGGGTGACAGAGTGAGACTCTGTCTCAAAAATAAACAAAAAAATAAATACAAATAGATGTTTCCTGAACCCAGTGGAATGAATCTAATGCGGAGAGTCCCACGGGGTCTGGCTCCTGGGGAGAATGGCCCAATGCCTACATTTTACCACTGGCTCATAATTTGGGCTGGACCTGGTCCAGTCTTCATTGAGGGCAAGAAAGGTCAGCACCAAGGAAGATCAGAATGTGGCTGGCCATGAGAGAGAGAATGCCGGGGGTGGCAGAGCCAGGCTGGCCCCACTTCCTTTCTCCAGAGGTAGGGGGCAAGGAGATAGGGGAGTGCCCCCAGGGAGCTGAACTGGCACTGTGGCAGTCTGTTCTGGACACTCCCTGTCTCTTCACTTGTCAGACAGTCCAGGCCTTAGATGACATGTTGCAGGCTCTTGTGATGGACGGTATGAACCCCAACATGCTCATACTACAACACTTCCTGGAGGTAAGTGGCTGTGGAAATCAAGGAAACTGAAAGTCCATATTAATTCTAGTATGTTTGGGAGGAAAGGAAAAGAATATCAGGATAGCCTGGGTGTCATTCTAGTCCAAAAACCATTTGTTCTCAAGCCTCAGCGTGCATAAACATCACTTGAAGACAAATTTCTGTGTCTCCCACAAAATATCTTTTTGAGGATCACATTTTTGGAAACATAGCCAGCTAAGCTGAGGACCCATTTCCGCCCAGGACTTGGACATATTGGGGCTTCAATGGTAATAACATTTACATCCCTGCCAGACTTTAATCTTCAAAGTATTTTCCCCTTTTGCAGTGTCTGCTGTTGCTCTGTGATGAAGAAGACCTCAGTGCTTAACCATCAGGCTACTTTTATATCCCTTAATGTAATCCCCACCAGAGACTCAATGTACTCCTTTAACTATCTTTAGAGCTTTAGAGCATTTCAAATATTCTTAGTTATGACAAATTGTTATCTCCTGAGGGTAGTTTGAGTTGGGGAAACAGCCAAGAGTCACTTGAAACTGACTTTCATGAACAGGATGGTAATCAATTAGGGTAATATAATTTTGCATAAAACATTAGGTGTGACTACAAAGAAGGAGACAAAATTGCCCAGGCATCTTAAAAAAAGACCTTGGCAAGGCCAGGCACGGTGGCTTACGCCTGTAATCCCAGCACTTTGGCAGGCCGAGGTGGGTGGATCACTTGAGGTCAGGAGTTTGTGATCAGCCTGGCCAACATGGTGAAACTCTGTCTCCACTAAAAATACAAAAAAATTAGCTGGGCATGGTGGCAGGCACCTGTAATCCCAGCTACTCGGGAGGCTGAGGCAGGAAAATCGCTTGAACCCGGGAGGCGGAGGTTGCAGTGAGCCGAGATCACGCCATTGCACTCCAGCCTGGGCAACAAGAGTGAAACTCTGTCTCAAAAAAAAACCCCCAAAACCCAAAAAAGACTTTGACAAGGACTTTAGCTAGAGGGAAATTTGTCCACATTTGGATGAGTGACATAGTTCTTTTGGAATGTACCATCTCTGGTGTGTTTGTTGAGAAGGATTTTTGTGCTTTTTAGGCAACCTTGCTATAAATGTAAGAACAAATGTTCTGTTGTTCTTGGAGTCTGTGGGAAACAGAGATGCAAAACTTTGGTCCTGGTCAGCGTAGAGTCTTCAAGAGATGCATTACTGGGGTTCTCGTTATCCAAAGATAAATGGAGCCCTGCAAAAGCACCACCTGAAACAGGTTCTAACATTTTGTATAAAATAGTGGAGAAATCAATTTACCTTGATACATAAAATTAAAAGTGTAAAAATAAGTTATTTTTATGTGTAACAAAATTTATTTTTGCTACTTTGAGGTAATTCTCAGTCAAGTGTGTATATTTTAGAGATATTTTTCCTACAAAAGGACATGATGGCATAATACGACATCATTTATTTCACATTTGACTTTGCAGAGCTGGATCAGAAAGATTGAATTTAAGGGCTATATGGTTTTCTTAAGGGCCCTCCTTTTTCTTTTGTCTTCTTTTTTTCTGTTTTTAAATTAAGGTATAATTTACATATAGTATAATTCAGCTTTTAGTGTGTAGATCTGTGGGTTTTGACAAATGCATGCAGTCCTGTAACTACAGCCACTATCAAGCTATAGAGCAGTTCTATCACCCCCCAATTCCCCCATGACTCTGTGGTCAACCCCTTCCCCATTCCCCATCCCTGGCAATGGCTGATTTGTTTCCTGTCCCTATAGTTTTGCCTTTTCTAAAATGTCCTCTAGGTGCAATGTCATCTAGGTGCTGTAGTCCCAGCACTTCGGGAGGGCAAGATAGGGGGATCACCTAAGCCAAGGAGTTTGAGACCAGCCTAGGCAACATATGAGATCCCATCTCTACTAGAAATTACAAAAAATATTATCTGGGCATGTGGTGTGTGCCTGTTGTCTCAGCAACTTGGGAGGCTGAGGTGAGGGGATCGCCTGAAGCCTAGAGGTTGAGGCTGCAGTGAGCTGTGATTGTAATACCACACTCCAGCCTGGGCAACAAAACTAGACCTTGTCTCAAAAATAAATAAATAATTAATTAAATAAGATAATTAAAATGTTGTCTAAGGCTGAGTACTCCAGCCTGGGGAACAAAGCGAGACCCTGTCTCAAAAATAAATAAAATAATTAAAATGTTACCTAAGGCTGAGTATAGTGGCTCATGCCTGTAATTCCAGCACTTTGGGAGGATCACTTGAGCCCAGGAGATCAAGACCGGCCTGGGCAACAGTGAGACACCCCCATCTCTACAAATAATAAAAAAATTATCCGGGCATGGTGTTGTGTACCTGTGGTCCCAGCTACTTGGGAGGCTAAGGTGGGAGGATCACCTGAGCCCAGGAGGTCGAGGCTGCAGTGAGCTGTGACAATGCCACTGCACTCCAGCCTGGGTAATAGAGGGAGACCTTGTCTCAAAAAAAAAAAAAAAAAAAAAAAAAAAAAAAAAGAGACATCTAAGTAGCATTATCCAGTAGACAGTCTCTGGAGTCTGTCTTCTTTCATTTAGCATAATGCATTTGAGGTTTATTCGTGTTGTTATGTGTATCAGTACTTTATTTCTTTTTATTTTTTAATTGAGTAGATGGATCACAGTTTGTGCATTAATTTTCCAGTTGAGGAACTTTGGGGTTGTTTCTGGATTGGGATGATCACAAATAAAGCTGCTATAAATCTTTGTGTGCAGGCTTTTGTATGAACATAGGTTTTAATTTCACTTGGGTAAATCTCTTGGAGTGGGACTGCTGTGTTGTATGGCATGTGGATGTTTGACTTTATAAAATACTTCCCAGCTGAGCGCAGTGGCTCCCGCCTGTAATCCCAGCACTTTGGGAGGCAGAGGAGGGTGGATCACCTGAGGTCGGGAGTTTGAGACCAGCCTGACCAACATGGAGAAACCCGATCTCTACTAAAAATACGGAATTAGCCGGGCGTGGTGGCACATGCCTGTAATCCCAGTTATTTAGGAGGCTGAGGCAGGAGAATCGCTGGAACCTAGGAGGTGGAGGTTGCTGTGAGCTGAGATCACACCATCGCACTCCCAGCCTGGGCAATGAGAGTGAAACTCCATCTCAAAAAAAAAAAAAGGAGGGGGGGATACTTCCAAAGTGTTTTCCCAAGAGGCCATTTTCCATTCCCACTAGCAATGTGTAAGAGTCCCAGTTGCTCTGCATCCCTGCCAGCATGTGGTATTGTTAGTGTTTCCTTTTAGTCATTCTTATAGATGTGTAGTGGCATCTCTTTGTGGTTTTAACTTGCATTTCCTAGTGACTAATGTTGAGCACCTTTTCATAGACTTGTTTGTCATCTACATATCTGCTTTGAAGAAGCGTCTGTTTTAAGTCTTTTGCCCATTTTTTTATTGGGTTGTTTTCTTATTTGGGGGTTTGAAGTTTCTTTATTTTATTTTATTTTATTCGAGATAGCATCTCACTCTATTGCCCAGGCTGGAGAGCATTGACACCATCACTACTCGCTGCAGCCTCGAACCTCCCCGAGAGACCTTCCCACTTCAGCCTCTCGAGTAGCTAGGACCATAGGTGTGCGCCACTATGCTCCACTAATTTTTGAATGTTGTGGGCAGGCACAGTGGCTCACACCTGTAGTCCCAGCACTTTGAGAGGCTGAGGTGGGCAGATCACTTGAGGTCAGAAGTTCGAGACCAGCCTGGACAACGTGGCAGAACCCCATCTCTACTAAAATACAAAAATTAGTCCGGTGTGGTGGCATATGCCTGTAATCCCAGCTACTGAGGTGACTGAGGCAGGAGAATCTCTTGAACCTGGGGGAGAAGTTTGCAGGTAAGCCAAGATCATGCCACTATACTCCAGCTGGGCGACAGAGTGAGGACTCTGTCTCAAAAAAAAAAAAATGTATGTAGGAGCTATCGGTCTCCCTATGTTGCCCATACTGGTGTCGAGCTCCTGGGTGCAAGCAGTCCTCCTGCCTGGCCTCCCAAAGTGCTGGGATTACAAGTGTATGAACCACACGCCCAGCCTTGAGAGCTCTTTGTATATTCTGGATATAAATCTTTTGCCAGATATGTGATTTGCAGACATTTTCTTCTCATTTTGTGTCTGACTTTATACAGTGTCCTTTTTTTTTTTTTTTTTTTTTTTTGAGACACAGTCTCACTCTGTCACCCAGGCTGGAGTGCAGTGGCACGATCTCAGCTCACTAATCTTCTGCCTCCCCGGTTCAAGCAATTCTCCTGCTCAGCCTCCGAATAACAGGGATTACAGGGTTGTGGCCACCATGCCTGGCTAGTTTTATATTTTAGCAGAGACAGAATTTCACCATACTGGCCGGGCATTCATTGAATGCCCACATCGTGTTGAACTCCTGCCCTCAGGTGACCCACTCACCTCAGCCACCCAAAGTGCTGGGATTATAGGTGTGAAGCCACGACGCCATCGCCGGCCACTCTTAACAGTATCTTTTGAAGAGCAGTAGTGTTTTTTTGCATTTTGATGAAGTCCAAATTATTATTATTTTTTATGTGTATATATTGTTTATATTATTTAGGAATTTTTGCTTCCTTACGTATTTTCTCATTTTCTTCTAGAATCTTATCATTCTAGATTTTAAGTCTGTGGTCAGGTTCTGAATTAACTTTTGTATTGGACGGTCAGGTATACGTTGTAGTTCATTTTTCTTTTTTGGCACATGGCTGTCCATGATGGGGTTCAGTGCTCTGGGAGAAAGGCTACCCTGAAGGACACCTGTCAGCAGCTGTGATACAGGACACACTTTCCCAAAAGTTTGTAGCAAGCAGGACACAGGCCTCTTTTCCCTGGTGGGATCTCAAACTAGATATAGTAATAATAACACTTACAGGTTGCTGGGAGGATAGAGTGGGTTATTCTACTCAGAATAACTTACCTGTGTCACTATTATTGTTAACCTCCAGAAATTAATGGCTCTGAATCTCATCCTTCAGAGGACCCTTTACCCCTTCCGCTGGCCTAGCAGGTAGGAGTTTTGCATGGATATGCTGCCAAGAGAGCCCCATCTCCCCACCTATCCCATTCCTGCTTACCCACTGCTTTGTAAATTCCTACATCTAAGGCACAGCGTGTCTTTTAAACATTGCCTCTCAGAAGAGACCCAGAAGGTAGCAGGTGAAACCCCGGAGACTTTTTTTTTTTTTTTTTTTTTTTGAGACAGAGTCTTGCTGTGGTCACCCAGGCTGGAGTCCAAGAGTGTGATCTTAGCTCATTGCAACCTCCGCCTCCCGGGTTCAAGCCATTCTGCTGCCTCAGTCTGCTGAGTAGCTGGGACCACAGGCAGGCACCACCACACCCAGCCAATTTTTTGTATAGCCCCGGTGACTCTTAAACACATCTTTGCTTTGCCAAGTTCATGGGGGCCTGCCACAACTCCCTCCTTTTTGTCTTTTTAGCAGTCAGGGATGTGGAATCAAGAGAAGGAAGGGAGCAGCACTCCCACAGAAGGTGTTCACAAGGTCTCTTTACTCCTTTTCCAGATCATCTTACCTTGGTCATCACTGTCAGACAAAGTGCACGAACAGATGCGGGCCTTGGGCACTATTTCCCGGCTGCTGAGGTTTATTTGCAGTTTCCCGGAACTGTCAGTGAGTGCTTGGAGTCGGGGAAAGGCTGACTCAGTAGGCCCTGCTTCTCTGCACATGGGGTACCTGAGAGCCTATGGCTCTGCAGGGGGTTACTGGGGGGTGGGTGGTCAGAGTGTCCCTCTTTTTTTGCATTAGTGACTTTTCTGTTCCTATGGGGTAAGAGGTTCGACTTGTTTGCTTGGTCTGCCGTTGGCCAAGTGAGTTCCAACTGGCTGGACACATCTCAGCCTTGCTGGGGGACCTTGGCCTAAACAGCTGAGTTGGGTCCACAACTTCCCACTGGCTAACATGTTTCGGGGATCTGGCTGCCGCATTTCCCTGGGTGTTGCTTTGAAAGGTTTTTCTTGGCCAGGGAAAGAGTGTGGAGCTGGTGTGGTGAGGGGATACATGCAGGCAAATGATTCAGTGGTGTGGAGGGGTGGGGAGGTTGGAGAGGGTTGGTGGCCACAGTATGGGGAAGCTCCTTTTCGGGTGATGGGGAGTTAACCAGTTTCCTCTTTGGGGCAGCACATGGAGGAATTCTCAATGAGTGGGAAACTGATGAGCATCTTCGGCCTCTTCTGCATGGACTGCAACCACGAGATCAGCAAAGAGGCATCGGAGGCATTGCATTACCTGTTCAAAATTCTTGTGCTTCAGAGAAGTAAGCAACATGAGCCTGGGTAGCCACTGGGCTGCAGCCATGAGAGCCCATGAATAACAGGAGCACATAAGCACTGCTCATTGAATGCCCACTTTGTGTCAGGCGCACGATGAAGGGCAGCTCCTTCTCACGAGGGCAGAGTAAATATGCTATGATGCCCCAAGATGAGGGATCCTCGTTACAAGTAGATCTGGAAATTTTATCTGGATGAGCTCCAACCCCATTGCTGATGCAATGCCGTCTTGTAAGTGATTCTAAGAGATTCTCAGGGAAAAGGAGAGCTAGGCTTGCAGCCACCTATGGAATCAACTTGGATACTCAATATTTCCCAGTGGTCTCAGCCTTACTGCTAGGCCTAAGACTGGGAAAATGAACATCTTTTCTTAGGGAACAAATTTGGGAGTCCCAGATTGAGCCCCTCTTTGCTCGAGGAAAACAAAAAAATACAAACAGTCACATACACTTCCAGAGGTGTCAGGAGGATTTGCAAATATCCCTAAAAGGAGCTTCAGAAACTCTTACTTCTCATGGTTCAACAGGGCATACTTCTTATGAGGGCATTTGCTCAGCACCCGCGGGTAGAACAGTCCACATTCTGGCACAGCGCAGGAATTGCTGCAAGGACCAGACTGAGTCCCCAGCCGCATTCTCCCTCCACCCATTGGCCTGGTGCTGGGGAACTCGTCCCACTCTGTTGAGCAAATGTTATTTCACCCATTTCACTCTGTTGATCTTCTCTGAGGTTTGGAGGGCAAATAAAGAAGGGTGTGTTCCTATTTCCCTGTTAAGGCCCTGCCCCTTAATTGTTGTTTTTGGATTGAAGGTGTGAAACAGAAGACAGAGACTATCCTGAAGGATTTGCAGAAGCATTTCCATGGAGCATGGCTTGCCAGCCTGCAGGATCTAACACTGGTAACCATCACTCTCCACAGTGCATGAAATGTCCAGATGGGGAGCCATGACAGGGAATAAGGAGAGCTGGGGTGGGGAGATTGTAGAGGGCCTGGGTGGGGCCACAGAGGAGTAATCCCTCACCCAGAGGAGTGTCTCCAAAGCTCAAGGTCTCATGGATAGCAGGCTGGAGGGGTAAGACCCATTCCCTAGCTGCACTTGAGTTGACTGAGGCTTGAAGTCATTGAGAGAGTTCTTTTTTTTTTTTTTCTTTTTTAAATAGAGTCTTCCTCTGTTGCCCAGACTGAAGTGGTGTGATCTCAGCTTACTGCAACTCTGACTCCTGGGTTCAAGTGATTCTCTAGCCTCAGCCTCCTGAGTAGCTGGGATTACAGGCTCATGCCACCACACCCAGCTAATTTTTGTATTTTTTAGTAGAGATGGGGTTTCACCATGTTGCCCAGGCTGGTCTCGAACTCCTGACTTCAGGTGATCCACCCGCCTTGGCCTCCCAAAGTGCTAGGATTACAGGCGTGAGCCACTGTGCCCGGCCAAAATAGTTCTTTAAAAGAAGTATAGTCAACCCTATTCTCCTCCTACAGATTGTACCCTTGTACCTTATTTGTAGCCTAGCCTTAATTTTTTTTATTCAGTAAAGATGTATTGGTTGTCTTAGCCAGGCGCTGTGGCTCATGCCTGTAATCCCAGCACTTTGGGAGACTGAGGCAGGTGGATCACAAGGTCAGGAGATCGAGACTATCCTGGCTAACACGGTGAAACCCCGTCTCCACTAAAAATACAAAAAAAATTAGCTGGATGTGGTGGCGGGCATCTGTAGTCCCAGCTACTCGGGAGACTGAGGCAGGAGAATGGCGTGAACTCAGGAGGCAGAGCTTGCAGTGAGCCGAGATCGCGCCACTACACTCCAGCCTGGGTGACAGAGCGAGACTCCATCTCAAAAAAAAAAAAGATGTATTGGTTGTCTTAGATACGGTGTCTCCAGGCTCAATCAACTCAAATCACTCCAGTCAGAAATCCAGGAGTCATCCCTTGCTCTTTCCTCTCCCTCACTCTCCACATCCAATTCAACACCAGGTTTGTTCATTCTGCCTCCTGGATAGCTCTTGAATTTGTCCACTCTGCTCCAGCCCCACTGTGGGGCCCCCAGAATCTCTTGCCTGGGTCACTCCAGCAGCCCCTTACTGATCATCCTGTTTCCAACTATGCTTCTTGTCACATCACTTTCTATGCTATAGTCAGAGAACTGCATTTCTAAAATGCAATTGCTGAGATGAATTATTCCCCTTCAGACTTTGCACTGACTCTCCACTGTCCTCATTCTAAAGTCCAAACTTGTTCACTTGACCCACAAGACCCTTCATGATCTGGTTGCTACTGTAACCGTCCTGCCTCATCTTGTCTCAGTCTCCCTTTTCCACCTGGCCCAGGTCTCCCTTGCAGGACACAGTAGTTAGGCTGAACTTCCTTCCACTCCAGGCCTTTGCATATTCTGTTCCCTCTGCCTGGAACTCTGTCCTTTTTCCTTGGGTCTGAATCATGGCGGTAAGGGAAACAAACACATCCTTCTTCACATGGCAGTAGGAAGGAGAAGTGCTGAGCAAAGGAGAAAAAGCCCCTTATAAAACCATCAGATCTTGTGAGATCTCACTCACTATCACAAGAACAGCATGAGGGTAACCACCCTGACACATGGGGATTATGGGAACTATAGTTCAAGATGAGATTTGGGTGGGAATATAACCAAACTGTATCACTCACATTGCACTATAACTGCCTGTTTACTTGCCCTGACTTGATGGTAAATTCCTTGAGGGTAAAGGCATTGTATGTTTTAGTTGCAGTTTTCCTGAGCTCCCAGCAATAGGACCAGGCACAGAGCTGAGCCTCAGTATTGTTTGAGTGAATGAGCTTCACGTGGATATGCAGGTGCAGGCTCAGAGATAGGAGAGATGTCTGCTGTACATAATAGCAGTCCTACTTGCTTTGGAATGCTGCAAGCTCACTAAACATCAGAACTCATTTCCAACGGACTCATTTGCTTACATTCCAAACAGAAGTAGAAATGCCTTTTGCATTGTCCTCTGTGTCAAGTTGTCTGGACCATTGCTCCTTCCTGGAGATTTCAGAGCTGGTGGCACTCTGAAACTTGTTTCACACCATAGAATAGCCAGATGCTGGTCAGGGACTGCCTCCACTGGCCCCTGGTTGATTGGTCTCTTTGGAGGCCAGAGGCTTTGGGGCAGACCCAAGTTGGGATGCTGGCATCGTGGAGACAGCTGTTCTTCTTTCTTCAGTTCTTCAAGAAATACCTGACCCCTGAGGAGAGAGCAGATATGATCATGGTGAGCATGGAGGCCATGACCAACACCAGCAGGCATGACATCTCTGCAGCTTCCAAGATGTTAAAGATGATCCTGAAGTACACGATTCCAGAGATCGGGAAGGTAGCAGCTCTGGGGGACCTAATGGTTCAAGGTCAATTTAAGGATTCTTTCTTTCTGTTCTGTTTTGGGTCTTGTTGTATCTCCTACCGGTTTGAGTTTAAAGAATCACATGCTTCAACCCATGGGATAAAAGGCTAAATGAGGAATAGTTTGTGATTGTGGAAAAGACTCTTCTTTGGGAAGTGTTGACCATCTGGCCTCTATCTCCAACAGGATGGAAAGAATTGAGTCAAAGCTATAGCAGACTACTAGGGGCTGCTAGGACCAGGAGAGACCTCAGTCTTTCTTCTTGCTTCCAGACAGTATTTGATATGTTAGATCTATAGGTGCCTTCTTCTTTCTTCAGGAGGAATAATTCAGGGGCGTGTGTGTGTATATATATATATACATATATATATATATACACACACATCCACAAACTTATGACACACTAACATAAATAGAGATGAAATACAGAGACTCCTTTATGAGAGCTGCGACTAGTTCTCAGTAAAATTAAGACAGCATAGGGCTGGGCGCAGTGGCTTACAGCTGTAATCCTAGCACTTTGGGAGGCCGAGGTGGGAGGATCACTTGAGCCTAGGAGTTTGAAACCAGCCTGGGCAACATGGCAAGACCCCATCTCTTAAAAACATTAATAAAAAAATTAAGACAGCACATTTTAGCGGTCCTTTTTATTATAGTATTTTAAAAGATCTTATGGACTGATGGAGGCCCTCTTATTTTAAGGGCCTAACCCACTTCTCTAACTCACTTATGACCTCTCCACAGTAGGTTCTATGAGCAGTTCCGGGATCTTACACTTTCCACTTCTCTGGCCTGGATTGCCTTTTGATTGAATGCCTCAGAACAGACCGCTGATAAGTTGAAGGGGACCCCAAAGATCAACTACTCTAACTCCCCACTTGATGCTTGTAATCTCTTTTGAAGGTTTTAAATCTATCTTGTATGGAATGCTTCACAAATTTACATGTCATCCTTGTGCAGGGGCCATGCTAATCTTCTCTGTATTATTCCAATTTTCGTATCTGTGAAGCAAGCACAGTGCTTGTAATCTCTTTGAGAGCACCCCAGACCACTGGACAGCCAGATGGTGCTGAAAGCAATCTTGAGGCGCTCACTACCTTAAACCATAGCTCATTTGTATTTGTAAACTACTTTCTTTTAAAAAATTTTAATTTACAAAAAGGATATATATTTATGGCATACAACATGATATTTTGAAATATGTATGCATTGTGGAATGGTTAAACCAAGCTAATTAACATATCAATTAACTCACATACTTTTTTTTTGGTAGTGAGAACGTTGAAAACCTACTGTCTTAGCAAATTTCAAGTATAGAATAGTCATCGTGTTGTACAATAGATCTGAACTTATTTCTCCTGTTTAAATGAAATTTTGTATCCTTTGACCAGTATCTCCCCAGTCCTCCTCACCCCCAGCCCCTGGTAACCACTGTTCTACTCTCTGCTTCCATGAGTTTGACTTTTTTAGATTCCATATCTAAGTGAGATCACCCAATATTTGTTTTGCTATACCTGGCTTGTTTTGTTTTTCATAATGTCCTCCAGGTTCACGTATATTGTTACAAATGACAGGGTTTCCTTCATTTTTAAGGGTGAATAGCATTCCATTGTGTATATGCCACATTTTCTTTATCCATTTATCTGTCGTTGGAAGCTTAGGTTCTTTCCCTATCATGGCTATTACAAAAGATTCTGCAGTGAACAGGGGAGTGCAGTTATCTCTTCCAGACACTGGTTTCATTTTCTTTGACTGTATACCCATAAGTGGTATTGGTAGTTTTACTTTTAGTTTTTTGAGTAACCTCCATCATGTTGGAATTTTCCATAATGGTTGTGCTCTTTATAAATGAGAAGGCCAGGTGCAGTGACTCACACCTGTAATCCCAGCACTTTGGGAGGCCCAGGAATGAGGACCTCTTGAGTTTAGGAGTTCAAGACCAGCCTGGGCAATATAGTGAGACCTCATTTCTACTAAAAATCAAAAGCGTTAGTTGTGCATGGTGGTGCCCACTTGAGTCCCATTAGGGAGGTTGGGTTGAGAGGATCTCTTGAACCCAGGGGATGGAGGCTGCAGGGAGTTATAATTGCGTGACTGCACCCCAGCTGGGACAACAGAGCTAGACCCTGTCTCAAAAGAAAAACAAAATGAGAAAAGGCTCAAAGAGGCTATGAGCCTTAATTACTGAAGTTTCGTCACCAGTTATTAGGTGACAGACACTGTTCCAACCAATTCAGATGCATTAACTCAGAACTGTTGACATGGGTAAAATCATCCTCATATTTTGTGTGAGGAAATAGAGCGCAGAGAGGATGAAAAGCTTTCCCAAGGTCACACAGTTAGTAAGTGAGGAGGTGAAATTCACATCCAGAGAGTGTGACTTTAGAGTTCATGCGGACCACCACCTACTGCCTCCACCCTACATGGCCAGTAAACAGCAAGGACTGACTCTTCCCTCCCTCCCTTATAGTCTTGAGGCCACTTGGAGGCAGCAATCCTATGCCCTTTGCCTTCCTGTCTCTAAGTTACTCATCCTCAGATTCTTCCTTCATTCTTCATGACATGATTTCCAGACATGGTTCTAGTCTCCCCTGGCTGCTCTCTATTTTGTCCCTCTTAAAATATCGGGGTTGTTCCATGGTGGGCAGGTGTGTATAAAGCTACCCTTAAAATCCAAGGAAGCTGAGAGGTCAAAGAAAGAGGTTGATGAATCCAGTTTCTGAGAAAGAAACATTTAATACTGACTTAAAAACAAGCCATACTGGGCGCAGTGGCTTACGCCTGTAATTCCAGCATTTTGGGGGGCCGAGGTG